GCTGTGTGTTGAACAGCCCTGGTTCTACAGGGCTCCAGCAGCTTGCTCTTTACACCACAGCTGGTCTCCACCAGCTTTGCTTACTACTAGCTAAGTGACCCCAACACACCCTCAGTCCTGAATTTCCCCAAAATCATCTGTCCTGAAATGTCCAGCCCTTTCCTGGAACATTCAGGGTAATAAGGTCCATTGCTCCTTTAAAGAGACAAAGCAAAGCAACTTAGTTGCTTTAACTGGAGTTAGTAATCACTTCAAGTCCTACACAGTACTGGGTTGATTTAGAATAAAAGTAAAAAGTTTATTTAATCAAATAGAGGTTTCAAGTCAGTTCAAGTATAAGGGATTCAGAAACAGTTAGAAATAAAAGCGTGAAATGCTTTCTAATGATTAAGACTTATGAAAATTAGTCTTGGTTCAAGGTAAGATTCTTACCAGACCTCTTTCCAGCAAGATGGCTAATTGCCCCCTTGGTCAGGTTCTGCCACAGAGTCCAAAGTGCTCAGTTCTTTTGTCATCTTAAATGAAAGATCATTTGGGGTTCTTTGCCCCTCTCTTTATAGTCCAGTGAACTTCTGAAATACATCCTTCTCAAAGTTTAGTGCCCCTGCTGTGAGGAATGGTACCTTGGAGTCTGATGGACAAGGTTCCATGCTGGTTTCTTCCCCAGTGGTGCTTTCTACAATGCAAGTTGATTTCTTCCCTGCAACCTTCAGTATGCCAATGAATGGCCATTTGCCTGCAATTGCACCTGGGTGGAGGCATTGGCCTTTCCTTTGTATGGAAAAAACTGTTTACCTACTCCCCAGACTTGCCTGGTTCAAACATTTTAGTCTCATATGTCCTTCACATTTGTACAGTACTTTGGGTGGTTACCATACATACACCATGCAAGAATTAGTGATAAGTGTATTATTGGTCTTCCAGTGATATCTTACATGACACCGATTAGATACAGATTATTACATCAGTTCAACGTACCCCAATTTACTTATCAGGCCAGCTGAAGCTCTGTTTCCAGAGAGCCCCTTTCCCTCTAGCATTGGGATGGTCTTGGGGTCACAGCAGTCCAGTGTTTGCAGCAGGCTTCTGAGAACCCACATGCCTTAGTTCTAATCCAAGCCAATGACTCACTGTACAACTCTGCACTGTAGTCCTATACCATATGGGTTTTGGGGGGGGGGGGGGTGTACTCCCTATACCCTGTAAAATGGGGATCCACACAGAGGAGCTGTGAATTAGTCATGCAATCTAAGACACTAAAAAAGTTGGGGGGGGGCATGAAGGGGGGATAAGAGCTACTCATTTTTAAACATTTGGGCTGGTTTTTCCCTCCACTTTCTACAGTGGTGCTTAGCCTGGCTTTTGGGTGTACAATGGCAAATAGGGGGAAGTTTTATACACTGGCTTCAAAGTCATTCAGGTCCTCTTAAAAAATTTTAGTTTGGATCTTAATATTTACTCTGGGCAATTATTCCTGGTCTCCTTTTACACATTGATTCTACAAACAAGAACATTACTATCAGGATGACACCAAAGCATGAATAATATAGAGCTTAAGAAATGGAAGGAGCATGTTGAGCAGCAAGCAAAATTTGCCGGATATTAATGTATTTGTCTGTATTACGGATATGTACAAGATGATTTCTGAAGCTTCCAACTCCACACACAAAGTGCATTCAAACTGACCAGCGATAACTCATCTTTGTTATGGTGCCAGATAAGCATTTGTCATTTTATTTTTCTCCTCTTAGCAAGTCAGGATATTAATTGTAATGTAATACTATCATGCTTTTCAGTATGAACAAAATGTATCATATGGAGCTTTAAAAAAGCTTGTATCCCAGTCATTGGTAAATAAGGGGCTTTTTTGTTATGCCTTGCCAACCCTTGCAAGCCTTTTTAAATGTGGTAACTGTTTTCTTTCCAAAGCAGGTCCTGTGTCTGTGTTAATTCATGCTCAGGAAAGGTGCTGGATTGACAGCTCTACAGATTAATAGCCTGTTTAACTACAGAACAAATAGACCCAGGCAATGGAAGTGAATAGGTGCACACACACACACAGGCACGCGTAGCTTATCTCTGACCTGGAGGATTAGACCTAAAAGTACGAGGATAAATTAGGCTTCTAGGCACTATGTCCTTAGCCACCTTGAAGAGCAGCAATAACTGTGTTGAGGCCATTTTTGTGGTACTTACACCCTTTTAGGACCTGGACTGGAACTAAATATTTCATTCACATAGGCCACTGAAAATCCATCATATGGCAGAAAGTCACTCCTCACTAACCTGCAATAGATGTAATTTGCAAATCATAGTTGGGTTACAAATTCTTGTGAACGGTTTCAGAGTAACAGCCGTGTTAGTCTGTATTCGCAAAAAGAAAAGGAGTACTTGTGGCACCTTAGAGACTAACCAATTTATTTGAGCATCAGCCACGCTATCAGAAGCTCGTTCACCTGCACATCCACCAATGTGATATATGCCATCATGTGCCAGCAATGCCCCTCTGCCATGTACATTGGTCAAACTGGACAGTCTCTACGTAAAAGAATAAATGGACAAATCAGATGTCAAGAATTATAACATTCATAAACCAGTCGGAGAACACTTCAATCTCTCTGGTCACATGATTACAGACATGAAAGTTGCTATATTACAACAAAAAAACTTCAAATCCAGACTCCAGCGAGAAACTGTTGAATTGGAATTCATTTGCAAATTGGATACAATTCACTTAGGCTTGAATAGAGACTGGGAGTGGCTAAGTCATTATGCAAGGTAACCTATTTCCCCTTGTTTTTTCCTATGACCTCCCCCTCCCCCCCAGACATTCTTGTTAAACCCTGGATTTGTGCTGGAAATGGCCCAACTTGATTGTCATACACATTGTAAGGAGAGTGATCACTTTAGATAAGCTATTAGCAGCAGGAGAGTGGGGTGGGAGGAAGTATTTTTTCATGCTTTGTGCGTATAAAAAGATCTTCTACACTTTCCACAGTATGCATCTGATGAAGTGAGCTATAGCTCACGAAAGCTTATGCTCAAATAAATTGGTTAGTCTCTAAGGTGCCACAAGTACTCCTTTTCTTTTTGCAAATTCTTGTGAAGTGCTCATAAGGCTTAGTGAATGCATACACAATAGCACCAAAACATCATCATCACATAGCAACATCAGCTCCAGCAAGCCAGCCAGTTTGAGACAGCTGTATTCTGCTAACCCAGAAAAGAAATTAAAGATATAATCTGAGATAGACCACAGCTTCTTACTTGACTTTCTTCCAGGCTCCTCCTGTTTGTAGATTAATACAACGGATAGTTTAAAAGGAAAATGTCAGCTAGAGATCTAGTAAACTTCAAAAAAAGAGTTCAGGGTAGTTTCAGATACTCCACCTGCCTCTATTCTCCTGCCAATTTTTGTGGTATTAAAAGAAATGGGAAATGGAATTGCAAATGTTTTTCTTTACATGGCAACAGGGAGAAATCAGGGGAAACTCACAATTATTTAGGATAACTGGCTTAAGTTCTCATAAGAAACATTCTCCTTCTGTTAATCCAAAGCATTTACAATTGGTTTTGACATAAGAACACAAGAATGGCCATACTGGGTCAGACCAAAGGTCCATCTAGCCCAGTATCCTGTCTTCTGACAGTGGGCAGTACCAGGTGCTTCAAAGGGAAGGAACAGAACAGGCAATCATCAAGTGATCCATTCCCAGCTTCTGGCAAACAGAGACTAGGGACACCATCCCTGCCCATCTTGGCTAACAGCCATTGATGGACCTATCCTCCATGAATTTATCTAGTTCTTTTTTTAACCCTGTTATTGTCTTGGCCTTCACAACATCAAATACAGAAAGCAACCTTGGTAGTTAAAAGTCTCTATGTTTTGATGGCATGAGGATGCCCAAAACAATGTCTGAAGAATCCTAGAAAGACCACCAAAGAATGGAAAAAAACACTGGTTGAGGTTTTTCAAAGCAGATGTGCACACACCTCCTAGACTACTTTGAAAATCCAAACAGTGATTCATAGTGACTGAACCAACACCAGCCTACATATCCTACAACCTACCAGGCACTGGTTTGTTAGCTAGGTGATACACCTATAATAGATTTATTCTGAGCCAACCTTTGCATTATTGAAGTTATTTATATCCTGTGACAGAAAATTCCGCTGCAGCTCAAGCAGCACCTTTGCCATGAAGGTGCGGGACGTTCAGATACTTGAGGGCCTTTTATTTGCAAGAGCAAACATTGAAAATGTAAGCTACCAGCCTAAATGGCAAGTAGTGTAACATGGGCAGAAACAGCCCAGATAACATGGCTGTTAATGCCAGGAATTTCTGTTCTCCTTTAAAGTTGAAGTTTGAGGTTTTTAACCTAGTTTTTAAATTTGAATTCAAGGGAAGGTAAATGTCACTTTTAACCCTATAAAACCCGAGCCCTATATAATAACTCGGCACTCCTCTGTAGATAAATGGACCTGAGGCTTAATACTACAAGGCGGTCAACTGCCAGTGAAGCCAAAAGACATTTGAAGACACTCTGTACTTTGCAAGACCGGACACTGAAACAACTTCATATCCTTAGCTAAGTGCAAAGGCCTCAGAAAGTGTATCCTTGCACTAGTTAAGTAAAAATACTGTTTAAAGAATATCACACCAGGCATCCGGTGAAATGAGCTGTAGCTCACAAAAGCTTATGCTCAAATAAATTTGTCAGTCTCTAAGGTGCCACAAGTACTCCTTTTCTTTTTGCGAGTACAGACTAACATGGCTGCTACTCTGACACCAGGAGTGTAAGCACTAACCTATAGGGATCTTCTTGAGAGCTTTGTAAATCAAGACTGTTAAAAGTCATTCAAAGTTGCAGTAGCAAAATCTTCCAGACCAGTTAGCCTAATGACAAGCATCCTTATCAGGACTCACAAATGAAAGATTATCAATCCTCTCTCTGAAGGATACTAAGATGCATTTACAGAATGGCTCTGCACAAATGAAGGGTTTTTTAAAAGTGTTTTATTTGCTCATTTGGAATCATTAGTATTTATAATCAACCATGTAAATCTGTCCCTTACTGAAACACTTAACAGCTTATTTGCTACTGCCAAGTGCATTACAGTTCATTCAAAGGGAATGGATTACTGATGTATAAGATGACTACACAACAAAACTTCAGTAAACATTCACAATAATTTAAAACATTTTAAATCTGTTATAAAGTTACTTTTATAAGTTAACAAAAACTATACTCTCAAAAATGTACAACACATTTAGTCCATAATGCAAAAAACAGTAAAACTGGTTAATTAATTAGTGCAAAAATGTAAAAACTTTACTGTATTCTTTGGAATAATTGCATCATCAGTGCTGTTCTATCACCCACACATAGACACCCTGCAGCTAATAGAGTTAACAAGAATTGCTGCAGAAATATCCCATTAGAAACAGATACCTAGTTCTGCCAAATTTAAATCTCTTGTAACTTGTTCATTTACAGACATTCCTCAAATAGGTGTCCAACTTTAGGGACACTCAAGTGGCCTGACTTTGGGAAGTGCTGAACATCTGCAGCTCCCACTGACACCCCTCTGGAAATCAGACAACTTATTTAGGTAACCTAAATATAAAGTTAGGCACGTAAATCTAGGCTGCCCCATTCTGAATATTGGCCTAGACATTTTCTCTCATTTATCAAATAAAAACTAAACTTGCTTACTGCCCACAACAATAGTTAAAAATCACTTTAAAAATGTATTGTTTTCAAGGTTAACTGAATGTATAAAGCCTTTTCCTATAGTCATAAGAAGTGTCAGTAATTGCTTAGGAAAATACATCCCACTCTAGAGATTAAGAATGGAACTCTGAGATAGCTTTCTCCAAACGCTATTTGCAAAATTATCTCATCATCTTCAAACTGCAAAATACTTGTAATTACATTATACCTGTCTTAAGCGACCATTCAGAACAACCAGTTGCTTAATAGAGTTAGTTTTCTAATAAAAGTGGATCAGAACTGTGCTCAGTATGTTTAGAGATCCTTTGGGGCAGTCTCTTAAGACAGAAGATGGCCTCATAAATAGGTCCTTGCCCAGGTTTCAAGTGTGTTATCAACTCTGGAGTTAGATTCTTGTCTCACTGGATTTCCTCAATTAAAACAGTGAAATATGGTAAGCATTAATCAATTAGGAGGTATGGAAAGTTTTCCCTCCTAGCATGACAAGATGACACATCTCGCTGAACTACCAAGTTGAGCCAAGCAGAACATGAACAAAAGAAGGAAGAAAAATGCAGGACTCTCCAGAACGTAGAGTAGCAATATATGAGAGAGTCTCACTCTGTACTTCAATACTCTCTTATACATTCAATAATAAATTAACTCTGCAGCTGTTGCAGTGACTTGGAATGACAGCAAAGTAGAGAGGGTTTTTTCCCCTCCGAGGATTTATAATGTGTAATTATACTTAATTTATTCTTTGTTTTAGGATAGAGTCCTGTATCGTAAGTGGAAGATGCTTGACAAACCCTTCAGGAAAAGCAGCACATCTTTCACATATTAGCTACTTTGGAGTCCTGCCCTGACATGAATGGAAAAGTTTACAGTTACCAACATCCAATGAAAGATAATTTCTGTATCTCAGAATGGGGTCTTTACTTATCAGACCATTCAGTAGCTGAGTGACACAGCTGTCTTGGGTGTCAACTCAAAAGGAAATCTGCTCATCTGTACTTCAAGAGACCATGACCATTTTAATCTAAGCACCTCACCAAATTAAGAGACCCATCTTTCCCCTCCCTCCTGGAAAAGCCGCCAAGTTGGTGCACAGAAAGGAGTGAGGATATCAACAGCTGATTGTATTACAAAAACCTCACTTGCTACACTGTCATTAATGAGAGAGAGAGAGTTTAAAAATAAGGCACTTCCTAAATGGCCAGATCAACCATAAGCCGTGTTTGTACTCCAATGTACAGATTACAGCCCCAAAATATATATGTCTAAAGGCTGGTATTGCAGCTCTCATTTATAACTGGGAGAAGTAATTCAAATGCACTTGCAGTTGTGTATTCCCTAGCCTCAGACTACAGGCAGGGGGAAAAAAGGCAAACATCGTTCTGATTCCAAATATTCAAGATAGTTTCAATCCATGGCTCCTGTTTGCCATCTCTAACTTAAACAAAAACTTATCTCTAGAAATTAAAGGGTAAAATCCCAGAGCATCCTTTTTATTAAGTCACAGGCATGCGTACACCTACCTACTCAAGTAAATTTCTAACAAATCGTAATAAATAAGGGAAGAATTTAGAACCCTGGCCAACAGATCAACCTCAAAATAGTATTTACGAGTTATCTCCAAAGTTTGAACTGGCTCAGATTCAAAGTAGTAATAAAATAACTGGCTTGTCCTAGTATGCCAGCAACCTCAGCTGGCCTCAACGTGAAAATTGTCAAACTGCGCGAATTCAAAGGAGCGTGTTCCAATAGCCGCCCAGCCATGACTCGTCTCAGATATGGTGACATTCTCCCAGAGAGGATAACCATTGAGCGATCCTGAGGCCGAAGAACCCTGTCCAAAGAAAGGGAAGAAAGGTTAGCAAATCCAGTGATCAGTTTAACACACTAGACCTGTCATTAGGGGTAAATGAGATTGGGAAAGTCAACAAGATGTTGGAGGTACTTGTGAAAACATTAGTGCTTCAAGTGCAGTTCTCTACTGAAAAGCAGCTAAAATACTACATCATAGTGTTAGGTTTATCAGCTCATTTCACTCCAAATCAAATACTTTTATAGTTTGCATGTAGAGATGCATTTCCCCTAAGCTCCAACTTTGTGAACTCAACCTAGAATTTGAGAGTTAAACTGGGTTTTTACTTCTGGTGACCTAAGAGTTCCACTAGGCAAAATCTGCCATTAGACTCCCCTGAGCAACCCCTATTGTCTTCAGTGGATTTGCATGGATGGAACTAACTGGAACGCCAGACGCAAGGAGGAATAGAATCCAGCTCACTTTCTCAGAGCTATGTTAGCTCTCCAAGGTTAACAGAAATCAAAAGCTCTGCTCCTTAAGCGTAGTTAGAACTGTATGCACTCACGCTAGTAACTAAGGTTCATTTTTACTGCTTTTGAGTATGATGGTGCCATTAATGCAAAGTAACTTTCAGTGTGGAAACATTTTAAGTAGCAATATTATCAGCCATTATTTTCCACTAGATGGCAGTAACAAATAAAAATACACACTAACTATCAGAGTTTACACTTTCTAAGGGCTGCTATAACCGAAGGCAAGAGCTGCAGAGGGAACATCATTTAACAAAAGGAAAGAGTGGTCCAGCAGGGATTATCCTCTTTGGCCACTATTAGAACTCTTTAGAGGGAGCTCCATTTTTTCTACCATCACATCAAATAGGGGGTTACCTGGGAATATTTATCAATTACAGTAACATGTCCTAGAAGTAGTTTCAAAGTGATTCCTTCCTTCTCTCTACCACCCCCGTATCTGCGTACCTCACAAACAGCATATTTTTACCCTCAACATTCCTGTGAGGTAGGTTTCATTATCCCCATTTTACAGAGGTGGACTGGGGCATGAAGATTAAGAATCTTGAGGTCACACAGTCTGTGGATGAGTGGAAACTGAACCCAAATCACTCCAGTTCCAGTTCAGTGCCTTAAGCCCAAGATAATCCCTTCTCCAACTCTAAAAAGATTAAGATGAACCAAGAACACCCACAAAGCAATGTGCCAGTCTTACAGCAAACATGCTGGCATGTGGGCAACTAGGGGCATAGAATTCGTGTGCAATTTTAAAAAAGGTTTATCTCAATTCAAGCCTGTGTTTAACTGGTCTCAGACCAGGTGCGATGGCAAAGTTTACACAAGGGCAAGGAATCTGGTTTTAGAAGTTCCACAGAAAAGCATGTGACATCTGCTCTTTTAGTTACATGAGTCAACACCACACAAAGCTGGCTAGATATGAATATTTAAGGAGCTGCTGACAGCGGTCCTGATGAAGAAGTGCTGCCAAGTTGTGGCTAGAGATGGTATGCTATGTAAAATGGTAACATTCTTAATAGCAAGGCAAAAAAAGACAACATATTTAATAAATATTTCTGCTCCATACCCAAACAAAATGTGACGATGTACTCTTATTATATGATGAGGAGGAGGAGGAGGATGTACTTTCCAGGCTATTTGTAACCGAGGAGGATGTTGGACAATATCCACTAAGGATAAACATTTTTAAAATCAGCCGGCCTGCATAATTAGCCCAAAAGTCCTAAGAGATCTCTGACCCACTGATGTTAAATTTGTTTAATAAGTCATGGCAAAGCAGGGAAATTCCACAAAACTGTGAAAGTGCTAATGTTGTGCCAATATTCAAGAAGTGCGAGTGAGATGACATGGGTAACTATAAGCCAGCAAACCTTGGTCATCACTTGGTAAGCTGAGCCCATAGAAACAAAATATATAATTTTGCATGTGGCTGTATTAAAATGTACCTGGGAACTAGGAATGCAAGTCATACCTACAGAATTACGAACTGTATCCTGGAAAGCCGTGACTCTAAAAAGAGTCTAGGGGTCATAGTGGACAAACAATTCAACATGAGCTCCCACTGTGATGCTGTGGCTAAAAGAGATAAGGTAATTCTTGGATGTATAAACGGGGGAGTAGCAAACCGGTGTAGGAAGGCAATTTTAGCTCTGCATATGGCATTGGTGAGACAGACACTAGAATACTGCATCCAGTTTAGCTGTCCATGTTTTAAAAAGGATGCCAAAAAATTGGAGAGGGTGCAGAAAAGAGCCACAAAAGTTATTTGAAGGCTGGAGAAAAATGTGTTAGAATGAGAGATTGAAAGAGCTCCATTTGTTTAACTTATCAAGAAGACTGAGGACTCGTCTATATGGTCAGTTAGTGTTCAGTAAGCTGGGGTCTAAATCTACAGCTCACCGTGCACTACCAGTCTGTGTGAAACCTGCTGCCATACACTGACTGAAAGTTCACTAGGTAACTTAGTGCATAGGATATTCCTGAGGGAATTCTGCGCCACTGCACAGGCGCAGAATTCAAGTCTCCCACAGATTCCACTTTCCCCCACTCCCAGAAAATAGATTCTGCTGGGGAGGAACTGCAATTATACTTTTTGCCCATGAGGGGCTGCTGTGGCGCCAGAAGAGAGGGCAGCCGGCTCCGAGCCAGAGCAGCCAGCTGCAAAGAGGGAGGGGGAAGTGGCTGCGTTCCTCACAGCACCCTGCCCACAGAGCCAGGTAAAGAGACATGGGACATTGGGGTGGATAGAGAGGGGCATACAGGGCTGCTGGAGGGGTCACAGGAGCTAGTGGGGTGACAGCATTGAGCTAGGGGCTGAGCAGGGGTGCAGAGATACAGGGGGAGGGGGAGTGTCTGAGCAGGGGTGAAGGGACGCATGAGAAAAGAGAGGAGAGGGGGGACAGGAACACAGCAGGACAGGAGCAGATATGTTTGACTGAATGGGAGAGACTATGGGTCAGCAAGGGTCTGCATGGGGGAGGCTCCCCAACTCCCTAACATCCATCCTCTTGCCCCCAAATCTGTTCCATTCTTCTCATACCCACTTAACTCTCCAGGTTCACTCCCAGGCTCCTTCCCAGCAATTACTTCCCTCTCCCTCAGCTCCTCTGTTACTCCTGACTCCTGCAAACTGCTTCCAGAGGTGCAGGACATACATCTCTGTATTGTAATTTAAATGAATTACTACTCAAAGTTCTGTATTAACTTGCCTAGTAAGGCATCTATTTGTCAAAAAACATTTCCTGACTCTCTCTTGTTGTCTTTATTGTTCAACATACTTGCTGACAGGTAATTTGAAATAAATTACCAAAATAATTGCACTGAATTTTTTGATGCACAATTCCCTCAAGGATAAAAGGAGCAGGGCCCACCATAACAGGTAGTGTGCAGCACACTGAAGCACTGTAGATTTGCACCCCAGTTTGCCACACACTAATTTACCATATTGAATGCTCTGCGAGGTAACTTGATTGCAGTGGATAAGTATCTTCAACGGAAGAATATACTAATTATTAAAGGGCTCATCAATTGAGTGGAGAAAGGCATATAAGAACCACTGGCAGAAAGCTGAAGCCAGACAAATTCACATTAGGCAGAATTTTTAAAAGCAACAAAAAACAGAGTGATTAGTCTTTGGAACAAACTACCAAGGGAAGTGGTGGACTCTGCATCTGTTGATGTCTTCAAGTCAAGCCTAGATGCCTCTCTGTAAAATATGCTTTAGTCAAACAGAAGTTATTGGGTACGATACAGGGGTACTGGGTGAAATATAAAGGCCTGTGGTATACAGCAGGGCAGACTAGATCACCTAATGGAAAACGGAATTGCCAAAAAGCAAAACAGTTACTTTAACTCCACTAGGACTTTATGCAAAGCACGGTCTAAAGGGTGTTACAGCTCATTCCTGGGAACTAAAAACTGCAGAGTTTAATCCCAGTGTTCCAACACCTCCCTCTGTGGTATTGCACTGATCATTTCACCCATTTGTGTCTCAACTTTCTACAAAACAGGATTAACACTTCACTAGGGTGTTGTGAGGATTCATGTTTGTAAAGCTCTTTGAAGATGTAACACATGAAGTATTATCATTACTTTAACTATTGCTAACTGATGCAATCACCAATTGCTACTGGACAGTCAATATCCCAGTGTGCCTGTGTACTCTATTTTAAAGGTGATCTATGTAAAGAATATTTTGGTTAATTCTTGTGGCTTTCAGTTTGCATCCTTACCCTGAGGTTCAGAGTGAGCGTGTGCCATGCTCTGGCTCGTACACCAGACATTCCTTTCATCAGGACTTCCTCTCCAGCTGAAACACATACACGATATTAGTGGAGAACAAACAATTCCATATTCCACAGGTATATTGTAATAGAGACCTTCCTTTTCTTGGCTTGATAATTAACACCTGATTTTCAGAGGTGTTGAGAACCTGCAACTTCTACTCAAGTGTGGGGGAAGGAGAGACTCCAAATCCCTGGGGAAAAAAAGTCAGCCCCTTAACAGAACAAACCAAGCCATCTTATTAGGTTAGCCAGACAATTTGTCCTTCCATTGTTTCATCCAAAACAACAATAGCAAGTGTTGGGGACAGAGCAATTGCCTCTGTTGACTTTAAGTCAGCTGAGTTAACCCAGGATATGGACCCTTTCATTGGTAGGATTTTGACCCAGGTTAATAGTAAAAAGTTAAAAAAACAACAACAAAAAGTTCTGTCAGCAATATGGTCATTCCACTGAAGTAAAAGAGCAATCTCAGTGCAGTTCTTTGTTTATGTACTAAGTATATGCCAAAATCAGGTTGAATACATTCTTAAACAAAAACAGTCATACCAGTATGGGTTTAAGCTTTTGATTTGACCAGATGAGCAGGAAAGGTATGATCAGAACTTTGATAGGAGACCAGACAGTCAAGTACTACAGAAAACAGTGTTAGTGATTCCATGGATAGCACATCCGTTCAGTTCTGACTCACAGGAAAGAAGGCTAAGTGATAAAATACTCTCTTCTGGAAGTATCTTCTAGGTGAGAAATAAAACTGATGGCCTGTCTACTTGTGATTCATTAAAGTAGTGACAGGTTTCAGAGGAACAGCCGTGTTAGTCTGTATTCGCAAAAAGAAAAGGAGTACCGGTGGCACCTTAGAGACTAACCAATTTATTTGAGCATGAGCTTTCGTGAAGTGAGCTGTAGCTCACGAAAGCTCATGCTCAAATAAATTGGTTAGTCTCTAAGGTGCCACAAGTACTCCTTTTCTTTTTATTAAAGTAGTGATTAATTTCCCCCAGAGTAGGGATGTTAAACCTAATGACCTTGCTAAGTTCCAGTTTGAACCACATTTTGTCTACCAAAATTCTCCTTGTTTCAGCTAGATAAACTCTTCTCAACATCCTATCAAACTGATAGTGTACAGCAGCACTGCCCAATCTACTTACATTCTCATACCACATCCACCACCCTGGTATCTAAGCACCTGCCTGGATGTCATCTTGACTAAGGCATCCTACATCAATTAATTTCAATTATTCTAAGCATACAGCACAGGCTGATTATAGTAATCAGTAAAAGAAGCCATATACTTGTCCAGGAGCCTGCAGGCATTATCTGCAAGGAGGATACAACTCATTACAGGACAATAGTACTTGTGGCACCTGAGAGACTAACAAATTTATTAGAGCATAAGCTTTCATGGGCTACAGCTCACTTCATCGGATGCATAGAATGGAACATATAGTGAGAGGAGTGAGAGAGAGATACACATACAGATAAGTTGGAAGTTACCATACAAACTGTGAGAGGCTAATTAGTTAAGATGAGCTATTATCAGCAGGAGAAAAAAAACTTCTGTAGTGATAATCAAGATGGCCCATTTAGACAGTTGACAAGAAGGTGTGAGGATACTTAACTTAAGGAAAGGAGTACTTGTGGCACCTTAGAGACTAACAAATTTATTTGTACTCCTTTTCTTTTTGCGGATACAGACTAACACGGCTGCTACTCTGAAACTTAAGGAAATAGATTCAATATGTGTAATGACCCAGCCACTCCCAGTCTCTGTTCAAACCCAAGTTAATGGTATCTAGTTTGCATATTAATTCAAGCTCAGCAGTTTCTCGTTGGAGTCTGTCTGAGTTTATAATGCAAGTGTCACCTATGAAATTAAGCATCCTGCATTTTCTCTAGCTTTTTCATCAAACCTCCAGTTGGCTTTATTTCAGGCTTAGATATAACCAAGTGTCACCTCTTTAAAAGGGTGTGTGTGTTAATAATAAGTTACTTACAGAGATCACCAGTGACCCGGTAGGTGCCATCTGCAAACACCCAGAAGAAGAGTCCTTTGCTACCTCGAACATATATCCCACCATTGTTTACTCTTCCTGCAATGAACACACCACCACTGACCGGGCGCTCTATGTACACATCACAAGTTATTGTCACATTTACCCTGCAAGAGAAAGTTAACACTTAATAAAGAATAAAGAAATGAGCATGAGATACATGTATTACAATAATACATTAGTCTGTGTGTATATGCAAAGCTGCCTGTAGAAGTAAGGTTATGTATTAGTCTAGAAGATACACACAACAAACAAACAGGCACACACGCAAGCTCTGAAGTGCGTGCACATCTGAACATACTGACGAGTCTCATGCTCACCATCTACACATTTCAAGCTGTTAGCAGATAACGGTGTAAAGATTTGACTCACTAAAATGGGAAGACAATGAAAATCTGTAACAGAATATGTTTCAGAACACTAGGAAGTACACTGAAGGACTTCACATAAGACAAGTATCGGGGGTAGCCGTGTTAGTCTGTATCCACAAAAACAATTTTCCTGGACATTCTATAACGGATTTAAAAGTAGCTATACTTGAACAAAAAAACTGCAGAAACAGACCTCAAAGAGAAACAGCAGAACTAAAATTCACTTGCAAATTTAACACCATTAATTTGGGCTTGAATATGGACTGGGAGTGGCTGGCTCATTACAAAAGCAGCTTTGCCTCTCCTGGAATTGACACCTCCTCATCTATTATTGGGAGTTGACTACATCCACCCTGATCGAATTGGCCCTGTCAACACTGGTTCTCCACTTGTGAGGTAACTCCCTTTTCTTCATGTGTCATTACATAATGCCTGCATCTGTAATTTTCACTCCATGCATCTGAAGAAGTGGTTTTTTACCCACAAAAGCTTATGCCCAAATAAATCTGTTAGTCTTTAAGGTGCCGCTGGACCCCCTGTTTTTCACATAAGACAGCGGGTATTTATAAATATTTTAAAATATTGGGCCCAATTATTAAATGTAAATATTTATAGGCTGGAAATGAAAAGTTTTATTTGGGGACTAGAGATCTATTATTTTCTTAAACTCAGAGGTGGCATTGTGCTTTGAGTTCTGTTTTAGTTCAGCACCAAACTACATTGCATTCCACTCAAAGCATTATCTACTGAATACTTCCCCACCCCCATCCTTCTGTCTGCCAAAATGAACCCCAATATTTGCCCAGAAAAATTAATAATAGTTTTTTGCACCCAATTTTCAGCTGCTTTTGTTCTTGTAGTAACAAACCAATAAATTCCTGGGGAAAAATTAAATAAAATAAAAAATGAAAACTAAGGGTCCTACTAATCTGAGAGGTCAGAACAGTAACATGGAGTAGGAACATTTTTGACAATACCATGGGATAAAGAGATACTGACAAACTCAACCAGAGAACTCAAAATCCCCACTATTTTCCACACCACCCAACCTTTGCACAACTTTAATTTTGCATCCCCCTCTTTTCTCCAATTAATCATCGTATGTAAGCCAACAGACTTCTAATGCCAGTGCAGAGTCTCACTGATGTTTCCCAGTTTATCAGGTTACTAATGTGCTTTGACTAATCTCACTGACGCATCCACAGCCATCTTTACCTAGAATGCAGTATTCCATGTGCTGTGTAGATCAAGTCAGTGCAATTTTTGGGACTGGCCAGAAGATGGCACCACAACACCAGTGTAACCAAATGAACTCTTTCAAATTTCTGTAACATGAAATATTTGCATTGACATTACAGATCACAGTGAAGCTTGACCAAAGCTTTTGCATCTTAAAGTCATCTTACACTCTTCCCCATTTGTACAACAGATCTTAAGCGGAATCATTCAGCATGGTTACAAACATGTGGACAGATATTTGCACTGGATTAACAAAAATCTGACCTCTACCTTAAAATTAGACTTGTGTTTACAAGCTGCCACTAATTTGGCCTAGAATTTTTTCACTATTCCAAATCAAAATCACTCAATACTTGACATTCAAAAAGACAGATGTGTACACTCAATCTATCCCAGGTGTGGATTAGTCTAGATACAAATTAGCTTTGGAATGAAAATTTAAGACAAACTGCCCAGTGAGAGGGAATGGGATGCCACATGCATGGGAATACCCAGGTTAAAATTAGTCTTGGAAGGATGAAATTTTTTATAAGTAAAGGTCAGTAAACATTGATTTCACCATGCACACACAGGGCAGTGAAAAATATTTCCATTAATAATGGAAATTAACGGATAGGCAAAGAAAAATATGCTGCTTGAATTTTTTTTTTTTTTTTTAAGAGTTTAAGGATATTTACTTTGTATATTTTGACACGTGATGTTGACAATTTGTCTTTTTAAATTATAAAGCTTTACCTTTTTCAATCTCACTGTCAATCAATAAATTGTCTGACACCCTCCCAATAATTTCCTGCAACTTGAAAATTTAAATAGATAAAAAAGTTCTTAAAAATAAACATTGATATTATCCATCAAAACTATAAAAAAACCCTAAAAACTGAATTCTGCAAAGCCTGTTTAAAGTGGATTTGACGTACCATTTAAAGTCTCCTATAATGCTGATGGCCTGGTCTGCGTCAGAAGCCCAAGTGATGGGTCGCTGAACCACCACCTGACGGAGTGTGAAAATGTGGTCCCCTGGATCAGAAGTGTTGACGAAGTACTCGAATACCCCAGTCTGATCAGCAAAATTTGGAGCTTCACTAAAGGGTGGATTACCTATTCAAAGAAAAAAACAAATCCAACAATGAGAGTTAGGTTTATTTCTTTTACTCCCACACACGCTGAAGGTTTTCAGAAAGTTCTCGTCAGAAACATTCTCCATATTTATAATTTCTTCCATCAGCACATCTGTGCTTGAGAATCAACAACAGTGCAAACTTAGGGTCTGATTTTCAAGCCAGACCTCTTTTTGCAAATACTGTTTTGTGCCCCCCAACGAATAATCAGGGAAAAGCATGAATAAATTGTGAGTGCAAAAGTGGGCACAAACTCAGAGCCAAACTATGCCCAAAGAAATGGATGTCACAAGTTTAAGTGAAGATTCAGTGAAGAGAAAACCAAAGTCAACTTACTCCCCAGCCTTAAACAGAATTTACAGGAGGCAGGAACCCTTCATTTCCCAGTCTTGACCTCCCCCTCCTTTTAGTGGAAAAATCACTAAAAATCCAAGATGGTGTTTAGTACCAAGTGACATGACCTTGTAGTCTCAAAGCAATTTTGCAGGAGGCTTCTTAGGAAGGAGAGAGATTAATATCTTCAAAGTTTTATTGTTTCTTCCTAATGGCCCATCAAGGCTGATGGTTGGTGTTTCCCAAGTACACACACAGTTGTAATTGTTACATAGTCAATATTCCTAACTTTAGATACAGAAATGATACATGCATACAAATTGGATATTCACATTCAGTAAATCATAAACTTTCCAATGATCTCATGTGACCCATCTTGCATAAAACATACCTTAGTTATGCCATATTCATATCATAATATTTCTATAAAGAATATGGAGTGTAACATCACACCTCTCCCCTTAGATCACTGCCAAAGGGTCAGTCACTGACAAATGCAAAGGAAGTGTGCTTAAGATTCTTTTTAGTTCTTGGTTATCTAATTTCTTAAGTGTTACCAAAAATTGTAGTGTCACCTACAGATGTTTTACAAAGTTCTGGGTTCCTTTTTTCAAGTTGCCTGAAAGCCTTTTAAAGTACAGCATTGTTAACACAATGTAGATATTAATAATCTTCTAGAGTGTAGGTGTCTGGGCATTTAGCCACCAATGCCATGAGGCAGTGTGCCTCAGTTTTCCCTTCCACACTGTAGTCTAGATTGGTTATGCTTTCTCTGCTGTGCAAAGCTCTAAGCTTGTTTACAGGTACTAGTTGAGAAGTAGTATTCTTATGGGACTTCCTTGTTACCACTCCTAGCCTGTACCAAAGTTTCTCCCTAAAATCATGCATGTTACATATTTTTACAGTATTTACCACAAGTACCAAATTCTTTGTCTTGACCCACAAATTGTGTAGTAAGAGACAAAATTACCAACAAATTAATGACAGGGAGGTGCTTCCGAGTATGATCATCATACCATGCCTTCCGTTTAGACAATCCAGTTTGTTCAGCATCTATTGTATAGGGCAAGGTGGGAGAAAAAGAAATCTGCTTCCTTACCTGGGACAAAGCACCACTTTTCTGCCTTCTTAGAGGTAGGGGCATGGCTAACATGTACCATACAGTTCTTGCTGGTTCCAATATGGCCTCATTGACTGGGAGTGCTATTAGGCTAGGCCCCATGGACTGTAGAATGTCCAAGAGCTTGTATTGCGAGTCCTGGACCTCCTCTAATGGGATCTGAAGCTATTCTGCTACTCTCTGAAATAGCTTTTAGAAGTATTTATGGTCATCTGGAGGATAAGGCAAGGCTGAAGCAATCGCCTCATCGAGCAAGGAAGAAATGTGTTGGCACTGGTGGTAACAGTGGATCTGGTTCATCTTCTTCCTCTTCCATAGGTTCAGAAGGCTCTGACTGATCCCCTGAGGGAAGGGGCGGTATGATTTCCCTACTGGCTCACACAGACTCAGTCTTGTGTATATGGGTCTCATGGTCCCCCAAAAAGGTCAATATGAGGGATTGAAAGTAGGTTGTGATGGTTACCAAGACACTGAGTACCATTGGTCCAAGGGGGTGTCCCCACTTAGCCAGATGAGACTGGAAGTAGGAGGCTCTCAATCCTCTGTCCAGACTGAATTCCCTCATTGGAGAGGAAGATGGTTCCACTGGAACGTTAGACTCTCTGGAAGATAAGGTTGGGTCTGGTTCCATTGGTGGTACCAGTGTCAGGAAACCGTGGCTAGTAAATGGAATGGGAGAGGAGATTCTCCCCGCATTAGAATCTTGCTGGAGAGGGTCAGTCCCAACAACAGAGGGGACTGCGAACCCAGGAGGACAAAGATACAATATGACGTGGGGTTAGATGTTGGAGCCTTAGATGGCCAAGTCTTGTCACCCCGCACCACCGGAGTCTGCATAATAGAGATCTTCATAATCCCTGGTTCCTTCCAAGGCTGTGACAGTGCCGCTGGTGTTGGAACTTCTGACAGTATGGTTATCGCCAGGACCAAAGGTTCACAATATTTTGGCTCTTGGGGCTTTGTGTTAGTGGTACAGAGGTCAATATAGATGATGGGGGAGCAGTGCTGAAGACTACTTGCTCTCAAGTGCCTTTTGATCATGGTCATGAGGCTTAAGAGGATCTAAAGTTCTTGTGTCCTGGGTGAAAAAAAACTCATCCAACCTGGACACAATCAGGGAGGGATCCCTTCTCTTAGATCTAGGAAGGAATCCACTCTGATGTTTATGAAAGTGTTTCTTATCAAGGGTCCCTCACTCAAGCCGTTACTGCTCCTGAATCAGACATTAAGCTAGAAAACATACTTCTCAAGGTCTCCGGTACACGTACAGGAGAAGGGGTCTCACTGGCCTGGATCCAACTGAAGCCTCATAACATGTTCGGGCAGGTGCTTCCCAAGCCAAAGTCCTCCTGTTCTGCCTGGAAAGGAGTGGCTTATACCACACTTAGTGGAGACGGGAGCTTCTCTAAGGCAGCAGAGGCAACTCTGGTGGTCATTGCTGACCAAAAAAGAGCGGGGGCGCAGGGGGGAGCAAGAGATACAATCCTTAAAGCCTGAGAACCTGGGCATAATCCAAGTCCCACGCCAAGGAATCAGAGGATTTCCCAGAATAGGTATTCTAATTAATTAACTACTTATCAAACTATGAAAACTATTAACAATAACTAAAAATATAAAAAAGAAATATTTACAGGAAAGAATGTCAAAGAGGTTCAGTTCCAGATGCTGCAGGATTCTGACTCAGGCCATGTGGTCGTAAGAAGGAACTGGAGAGGCATCGGGCGGGACTGCTAACTCTTTGGTATGGAGCATAAGGGGAACAACTGCGCAGATGCAGACCAGCACACACCACTTGCTAGAAACCTAGTCTCAGGCGCATGCACATCCACAGTGGAATACACACAGGAACCAGCACTTGAAGTATTCAGTATTTATACTCCACGGCAGTCAGTAGCAGCCAGAAGGCTATACTATGTGTGATGTATTTCACTCTCTCGCAGACCAGCTGTAGGGCTTGTCCACGCTTGAAATGCTACAGCAGCACAACTGCTGTAGCCCTTCAATGTAGACACTACCTACGCTGATCGGAGGGGTTCTCCCATCGGCGTAGGTAATCCACCTCCCTCAAGAGGCAGTAGCCAGGTCGGAGGAAGAATGCCATCTACACCAGAAGTTAGGTCATCTTAACTACGTCACTCAGCAGTGCGGATTTTTTACACCCCTGACCAATGTAACTGGGTCGACCTAACATTTTAGTGTAGACTAGGCTGTATTAATGCAGATTATTCCTCTAAGCACCATAGCCCTTCTGCTTTCACAGGCAGCACAGACCTTAAGAAATTAAGAGTTGACTTACGAATGTTGAAATCATCCTTGTAATTTGAAGGAAAAGGCTTGGACTGGGGAGGATCTGGGTAAGTGCCTTTCCAGCCTGTCATGAGGGTAGTTAACGTGTAGACTTCATCCACATCCAGATTTAAGCTGAACATCCCTTCATGTACCTGTAATGAAAGAAAGCACAAGCTAAAGAAATGCAAGAGGCAGCTAAAGCGATCATGTCAGCATGTGCCAAAGTTCTGCAGCATTTCCTTTAACTGTCCGAGTTAACACAAACCATCATGGGGGGGAGGGATAGCTCAGTGGTTTGAACACTGGCCTGCTAAGCCCAGGGTTGTGAGTTCAATCCTTGAGGGGGCCATTTAGGGATCTGGGGCAAAAATTGGGGAGTGGTCCTGCTTTGAGCAGGGGGTTGGACTAGATGACCTCCTGAGGTCCCTTCCAACCCTGATATTCTATGATTCAATGATCTTGCATCAGTTGGTCTAATTTCTCTATAGGTATGCTGATCTTACCCCTAAACTCTGTACTTCACTCCATCCTCCAGTTAATTGTAACACTGCAAACTGTCTATAAACGAGCTAATGAGGCACAGCCCTAAATGTCCATTCTGAGCACGAAAGACACCAGGGAGCTACTGTGAAGAGGGGAGGCAGCAGTTGGCAGTACAGGGATCCATCTGGAAACACTCATTTACAACAGAATTTAAGCAAGGTCACGTAATATTAAGAACCGCTTTTTTAAGAAGTAGTATTTATCGAGGCAATCAGCACCCAATCTGCAGAAGCTTCTCTGTATTCCCATGTTCCCATTACTTGGGATATAACAGATTCACTGGCAACAGGGGTCCCTCTTCCCACACATTACTTCTAAATGTGTGGAGAGAACAACAACATCACAGAGAAGCAGCAGATCCCAAAGAGGACATTTTTGGGTTGAGGCTGTGAAGATGGGATGTGGGGGGTCCCGGCCAGAGAAATATAAGGCCTTGACCCTGCAAATCCCTGTGCAACAGAATGCAAGATTGGTGCAGTCTAGCACAAATGCAAGTGTCAAGGAAACGTAGGTGTGTGTAAGCAAGTTTAAGTGCTGCACTGAGCAGTAAAGGGTCAGGTCTACTGTGCATCTACTCCAGTGCTCAATTGTACAAGGTAAGAAAGGGGCAAGACCAAGGGAAAGAACAGAGTTTATTTTGAGTATATCATTATGCTAATGAATCACTTAGCTACATTCTTCTCTCTCAAAATTCACTCCAGCTACCATGAAAGAGTGATGTGGCAGCCATGCAGCAGGGCTCTCACTAACAAGAATATCAATGTCCCTTGTACTCCCCATCCTGCTCAGCACTTTATGATTACTCAAGGAATACACCTCCATCATGTGGTGTCAAACCCAAAGAGCCAAATTCTCTTCTCACACTGGGGTAAAGCTGAAGTAATTCCACTTTTTTACCTTGCACCTATACATGTAATGTTCCACAACTGAGCTGGATAGGATTAAATCCCTCGTACATAAAATACAGAAGGGCCAGAAGACTGAACAAACCAGAGGTATCAAAACCATTTTTATCTGTAAGCCAGGTTTTCCTTCCACTCCCAGTCAATCACCCAGAATAACAAAATGGCAAGGGTTTGACGGGAAATTAACAGTGATCAGTAAGTAACACACCCACCTTTACAGGAGGAAGAGGATGGAATAAGGTGGAATTTGCAGATTTGAAGCCAAGCTTAGTATACCACATTTTCAAGGTTTTCACTTCATGCTAGGAAGAAACATACAAAAACTTTCATAAGATTCTTCTTTGGAAATATTGAGGATTTAACAACATTTAAGGCTGTTTTAGTGAAACATGTTGGGCGGACAGCCCAAGAGACAACCATTCTTTGCTTATCCACAGAACAGGTATAGCATGGGCAGTGGCAGCTCACAATTCCCTCACATCTGTGGGTCTCTGCCCCAGTACACAGGAACAGCTTTTATGAAGAGGGGAATTCACTGTTAAGAGCCCACTGAATTCTTGGCTTCTGTCAAGAATGCCAACAAGATGGCCAATTAGTGCCAACTGTAATGAAGGTTCTGATACAGACATCCACCTCCAGTAGCTGGGCTTAGATTACCTCATTCATTTCATAGAGCTAACTTACCAATCACAAGTTTTGGTCACTAGTGCCTGGGCCTAATTAGAACCGCTGAATAACGCAGCTGATGCATCCTAGCGCTACAAGAATGAGAGAGCAACTATAGTTCTGTTACTGAAAAACACAATCATTCAACACAATTCTAGAGTTTGAATTTAGTCCCAGTGAAGTTAGCAAGAGAAAAAGTTTGAGTTTGAGATGTGGTGTGCACACTATTCTTACAGGATATCTTATACAATTTGCATGGCAAGCCATATGGCATAAGAGCAGTACCACTTGGGGCACTAGGGGAGGCAGTGTTCCAAGCGTAATGATTGAGGGCTGCTCGTAAGTCTTTTATTGCATTATTTCAGTGGTGAATGAGGCACTACTTGCCCCAGTAACACAGCAGCCGGTACGGCTGTGAAGGGAGAGGAACCAATCTTACTCGAAATTAAAACCTAAGTGTGTTCAAACACTTTCACCTTCTGATAAGTAACTCCCCAAATCTGCCATTTAACACAGACGAGTTACTGTGGCTATTGGAGCACGGCTCATGTTTTTCCCAGCTGAGCCACACTCGTCTTCCTATCCACCCACCAAGAGATATCCAGAGTATCTTTTCATGGAGCAGACATGTTTAAACTGAAACATAGGCCTCTCCTTTTCAGCAGAATAGCTACAGGAGGTGGTAACAAACAGTGTTTCACAAGAAGAGGATTTGTCCACATTGAGTGAGTGTTAAACATGCCCACAAGGGAGGGAGAAAGTAGTGGACTTCCAGGTCAAATAAGGAAAAACGTGTTCCTCTCCACACCACCAAAAGTATTTTCAGGAAAACGTTAAGGAAAATCCAGTAACTGAACTCTTTTTGACGTTGGGGGAATCAGTTGTTGGTTGGTGAAGATGATCGTAGTGTAACAAATTGTTCTTCTGTGAATACAATAACTATGTAAGTCTCTTATATACCCTACAGAATGAGAACGACAGTGCTCATCTTTTAGCCCCCAAAGTATAGGCCTCCACCACATAAGTTAAAGGAGCACTTTCAGCTTACAGCAGTAACGGATATGGGACTTACTATGTGGCTACAATTTTAGAAGCCAACATCATTCACATGCACAAAGCTAGTTCATTACGCAGTGACATCTTATTTTGTACACGTATTAAACAATATGCAGCAGCCTGATGTCCCTGAATACATTGATATGATACATACACAAAAATATTTACTTACAAAGGATCCTTTGAGGTAGAAAGTTGCTTTCTGAGGGGACACAATGAAGGGAAACAGTGGAGGCCTGATACACTGAGAGTGCAAATAAGTCTGAAAAGAAAATGAATGGAACAGATGGGAAACATAAATCACTGAAATCGATCTTTGGCCAATTTTGATAGGTATCACAATCCCCAAGTATGAGCCAAAAGCCATAAACATTAACAAAACGGTAACAAAAGAGATCAGATAAATTGGTTTAGTTCCAAGTTCACTGCTATTTTGTGGATAATGGAAGTTAGAGTCAGAGAACAACAGTTCATATTTTTATTTGGGATGCTACTTAAATCAGCAATGTGACAGGATTCCCAGGACTCCTTGCCAGACTACTGGAACTAAGACAATCAAGGAGCTGGAGAAAGAACTGATCACACCGTTCACCACTAGGACTAAAACGCACACAAAATTGATTTGTGTGAAGATGAGAACAAGTTAAATGAACTCTGCATCCAGATGATAAATCTTACTGTAGTTTGATTTCTGCAGGAATGATGGCCAAGATTTTCTAAAGTGATGCTTTTTGAGTATCTAATTTGAGATGCCTTAAACAAGCGTGATTTTCAGGGGTGAGGGCTTGCTCAAAACTCTCTGAAATCAGGCCCCTTTAAGGTATCTCAAACTGGACCCAAAAATCCCAAATCACATTTAAAAAATCTTGGCTCAGATACCTCTTGCAAGACCTGCACGTGGCCCAGAAAGAAAAAAATAAAAGCTTAAAAAAATTCTAAAATCCCCTAGTCCTGCTTCATCTGTTGCTCCCTCTCACTATAAACTTTCTACCTTTTCCTGGGGTATTCAAAGCCCTTCGCCTGATTTTAAAATATTATGCCTACTCAATCAAGGAACTCACAATACCACATGACCAAGGCCCTTCATTCTCAGTTTTTAATTTATGTAAATCTTCCTGGGAATTTATCAGTGTTTATTACAAAATTAAAAAAAAAAAAAAGGGGGGAAAATTCGTGCAAAAATTAACTTTACACACAGTTTGCTGGGTGAATATTGGGGGACAGGAGGACAGAAAAGCAACAAAGTAAAGTAAAAGTAGTTTAATGATGTGGTTTATTTAATGAACTGTACATTACATACATATATGCATGCACATGCACGCACATGTATATATATATCTTCTACATTAACGTAGATAGATGTGTTTATGTTAATAAGGTACTCAAGAAAATACAATATATTGTATTAGATAAACAATCAGCATTTTCATGTACTTCATGATCCAAAATTCAGGTGGGGTGGGGGGGAAAAAAATCACTAAAAGACAAAGGATACCTTTTGAATAACCTGGGAATTTTTCAGTATAAAAAGGCAGTAAACTGAAAATGAAGGGCCTTCCACATGACCAACCACAACTAATCAACAGCTCCAATTTCAAAGGGCAGGAAAGAATAAAGACTCTTTTCCAAAACCCCATCACCAGAGACTGTGCTGACCCTCAAAACCACCACGAAAGAGGCTGGTGGACATCAGTACTTGTTTAAAAAAAACCCACACACATTATAAAATATGATAGAACATGGAGAGTAAATATTAGAAAAATATTTCAAAGCTCAAAGATGCTACTGTATCTATACAGCAAAGAGGCTGGAAAGCTCTCGTTACATACTGAGCTAGAATATAAAGGTTCGAAGAGACCTCGGGAGGTCATCCAGTCCAATCCCCTGCTCAGAGCAGGACCAACACCAACTAAATCATCACAGCCAAGGCTTTGTCAAGCCAGGCCTTAAAAACCCTCTGAGGATGGAGATTCCACCACCTCCCTAGATAACCCATTCCAGTGCTTCACCACCCTCCTAGTGAAAAAGTTTTTCCTAATATCCAACCTAGACCTCCCCCACTGCAACTTGAGACCATTGCTTCTTGTTCTGTCATTTGTCATCACTGAGAACAGCCTAGCTCCATCCTCTTCGGAACCTCCCTTCAGGTAGTTATAGGCTGGTATCAAATCCCCCCTCACCTCTTCTCTTCTGCAGACTAAATAAGCCAAGTTCCTCAGCCTCTCCTCGTAAGTCATGTGCTCCAGCTCCCTAATAATTTTCGTTGCCCTCCGCTGGACTCTCCAATTTGTCCACATCCCTTCTGTTGTGGGGGGACCAAAACTGGATGCAATACTCCAGGTGTGGCCTCACCAGTGCCAAATAGAGGGGAATAATCACTTCCCTCGATCTGCTGGCAATGCTCCAACTAATACAGCCCAATATGCCGTTGGCCTTCTTGACAACGAGGGCACACTGACTCATATCCAGCTTCTCGTCCACTGTAACCCCTAGGTCCTTTTCTGCAGAACTGCTGCCAAGCCATTCGGTCCCTAGTCTGTAGCGGTGCATAGGATTCTTCCCTCCAAAGTGGAGGACTCTGCACTTTTCCTTGTTGAACCTCATCAGATTTCTTTTGGCCCAATCCTCCAGTTTGTCTAGGTCCCTCTCTATCCTATCCCTACCCTCCAGCATATCTACCTCTCCTCCCAGTTTAGTGTCATCTGCAAACTTGCTGAGGGTGCAATCCACACCATCCTCCAGATCATTTATGAAGATATTGAACAAAACCGGCCCCAGGACCGACCCTTGGGGCACTCCACTTGATACCGGCTGCCAACTAGACATGGAGCCATTGATCACTACCCATTGAGTCCGACAATTTAGCCAACTTTCTATCCACCTTATAGTCCATTCATCCAGCCCATACTTCTTTAACTTACTGGCAAGAATACTGTGGGAGACCGTGAGAAAAACTTTGCTAAAGTCAAGGAACACCATGTCCACTGCTTTCCCCTCATCCACAGAACCAGTTATCTCATCATGGAAGGCAATTAGATTAGTCAGGCATGACTTGCCCTTGGTGAATCCCTGCTGACTGTTCCTGATCACTTTCCTCTCTTTTAAGTGCTTCAGAATTGATTCCTTGAGGACCTGCTCCAGGATTTTGCTGGGGACTGAAGTGAGGCTGACTGGTCTGTAGTTCCTCGGGTTCTCTTTCTTCTTTTTAAATATGGGCACTATATTTGCCTTTTTCCAATCGTCCGGGACCTTCCCTGATTGCCATGAATTTTGAAAGATAATGGCCAATGGCTTTGTAATCACATCAGCCAAATCCCTCAGCACCCTCGGATGCATTAGATCTGGACCCATGGACTTGTGCACATCCAGCTTTTCTAAATAGTCCTTAACCTGTTCTTTCACCACTGAGGGCTGCTCACCTCCTCCCCCATACTGTGTTGCCCAGTGCAGCAGTCTGGGAGCTGACCTTGTCTGTGAAGACCGAGGCAAAAAAAGCATTGAGTACTTCAGCTTTTACCACATCAACTTCTTAATGTGATTTAAGAAGTAAAAGAATAAAGTGCCTCTAAAGGTTAAAACTGTAGTAAATACTTTATTCATCTAACAGTTTTCTACTGCACTGTGTCACAAGTTAAGCCTGTGATACAAGACTGACACACCATGATTTCCAAGATCTAAATAGCTGTACCATCCAAGCACAGGAAGACAAGAGAGAGCTCTATTTGCTCTCACTGGCAAAGGTGCAAGTGACACGTACATAAGGAGTTTCTACAAGACAATTTTTTCAGAAAAATCCTCCTAAATCTCTACTGCTTTGTTGGGTACTGGAGAACATTACCATAGTTTCAACGATGATAGTAAGGTTGCCTAGGCCATCAGTCAGAGCTACATAGCTGCCACCGCCTTCTAAATGTCCATCCACCTGCAGGTAGTGCCAGCCAGGGTAGGTAAACTGGGTTGTGTGTGCTGTGCAATAGTGAAAAGAAACCAAAAAGAAAGGTCAGCATTCATTCCAGGAAGTTCATCCTGCTACCATTTTGTAGCTTCCATGCCACTGGTTTTACAACCATATGCTTTACTTTGAGAGAAATCTCCATAGAAATTACAAGGCACAAATTCTGGCTAGTTAATTGAAAAGAGACCAAAGAATCAAGAAGGTGGGGATAGCAGATTCTTATGTCTGAACCCCTTGCTACAGGATACATTTTTCTGTCTGCAGATGAATAGAAGAAGATCCAATACAGGGGAACTTCACACCATCCTGCCACATAGGGGAAGGGGCAGGTCACCTGATCTGGTGACCAGCTCTGCAGGGACAAGAAAAGGTTATGGGTAGACCAGAGGGTGGCCACTGGATCCATATATACATATTTAAATTGTGAATACATAAAAATTTTTATATGCTATATACACACAGAGTAAAGTGATGGTTTACAATCTCAGCCATCTCAAACAGAACATCGGAGTACTCCAATTCTGTTTTCTCTTCCTCCCTCTCAGAGCTCAGAAAGCTCTTGGACCCAGATATTTTGGAGATAAAATAGAAAATAAAAATCAGGGACCGAGTCCTAGCCTTTACAGAGGTTTTAGCTCAAAGCCCTTTTTAATTTTTTTTAGAAACAGAGTTAAAAAACCCCAAAACAGTTGTTTGCAATGAAAACGGAGAGATCTTTAATAATGGGAGCCATGAACTACATTGATGTGTGTGGCACAAGTCAAATCAGAGAACCAGATCTCATTTCCTGTCAGGATTTCTTCCTGCCCTCATTCTAGTTAAAATGAATGAGGGAAAGTCTTCGTATTGCTAAAAAAGTAAATATGTTCAATAAAAAAAACTGTACATAAAAGAAAATTATTAAACACCAAAAATAGAGGACGTTGTGCTCTTTAATCTAGCATAAGAATCCCAGAATATTGTATTGTCTATACTTTTGTAGGTCCGTTTGAACTTTTTATTTACCTGTGATCCAGATAGGAGCTTCCACTGCATAATAGCCACTCCACGGCTCTTGCGCTGTCATTAATCCATTCCGACCAAAGGGCAAATCTTCATAATAACTAGCCACCAAATTCCAGGCAATAGTACTGGAAAATAGTTTTGTTTTTAAAATCACAGTAGTTTTGAGTGCAGAGAATTGAACAAAATATTTCTGATCATGCTGAGACTGAACGCCCATATGTGTCTGCATAAACTAAACACTCCAATGGAGCTACTTCCTTTGGCAGATATATTACACATTTGCAGTGGTGGGAATTACCTGCAGAGCTACCATGTTCTGTAGGTATCTGCGTTTCTATACTAGTGCACCTAAAGAAAGTTTAGAAAGGCCAGCAAGACTAACTTGACTAGCAAAGTATTGCAAGATCCTTAGCATCTGGAATTTGCATATTCTAACCTCAGCTGCAGTGGAGCCCTTAATTAAATCATCCATTTATCAATTTAGGATATTTGCTCAATTCATCACACCAGGTCTTTGGGAAATTAGAAAAAGGAAAAGTCAAGCTCTTGGGGTTTATACACGAAGAATATGGTTTTAAGCGCTAGTGAAAAGAGCGAAATGAAGTAACTTGTGGACTGGACTCTTTTTACCCACACAAAACAGATTATGCATCCGATGAAGTGAGCTGTAGCTCACGAAAGCTTCTGCTCAAATAAATTGGTTAGTCTCTAAGGTGCCACAAGTCCTCCTTTTCTTTTTGCGAATACAGACCGCAGCAGTGCAACTTTTACCCCACACTGTCCTCTCAAGGAACCTCAGTCGCTCAAGGAAACGTTCTCAGTACACGAAAAAAAAATTTAAAAAAAAATTGAAGAAACCCAAAATCAAGAGAGCTTGTTAATAAAGAAGATCCTAGGTCTTATCCTCCTATTGGCATATTTGCATGTATCAAATTACAGCCACCATTTGTGCATGAAAATACTGTGATGGCATACATAGCTAGTCGCTGCTGCACGCAAACACTAGTTATTCTTTTAGTACCCCCTGGTATGGGCCAGTACCTAATTCACATAAGTGGTCATAACTGTGTGTGCCACTGTGCACCTGAATTTTTAAAAGGGGGGTCCTAAAAAGTCAACAAAAAAGATGCTTAGAAGAAAAAGTTTTTCCTTTGTACACTAGCCAACTTGTTCTATTTAAATTTTCGAGAGCTCCAACTTGGCTGACAGGAACTACAGCAAATTTCAGCCCCATGTCATGCAGATAATTAGATACTAGCCTGTTTTCCGTAGAAAGGCCAACATGATTTTCATTATTCAAGGTATGCCAGATATGGAGCAGCTTGTAATACCTGATGAATACTGTGTGTTGATGTGGTTATTGGGATGTTTATTGTATGAATATGTTGGTTTAGTTTAATAGAGGACTGTAAGGAAAAAAGCAGAAAGGGAAGAAGAATGACTCAAGGTAAGACTTCTCAACAAACACTTGAGAGCTTTTTAGAGACAATGCCATGATTAGAGTTGGTTGGGAACCTTCCAGTGGATTGTTTTACTTGTCTGAACACACCAATTCATCAACAGCGAATCATTTCAAAGGATAAGGTAGATTGACCAATTTCCGTTTGAAAAATAACCATGAAGCATTTTGACATCAAAATGGAATGTTTTGAAATTTTTGGAACCAAACATTTTTCATTTTGAGTTTCCTTCTCATTATAATATAAAATAAATATTGAAAACATTTTTTAATTTAAAATGTTGAAATCTGAACAAAACCTTTTGATCAATCTAACCTCTTCTCCCTTCCTCCCCCCCCCCCCCCATTTTGTGGAAAATGTTCATTTTGTGGGAAATTTTCAACATTTTTGGTGTTCTTTTTCACAACAGACATTCCCACAAAAAACAGTTCACACCCACCTCTAGCCAGGACAGGAAAAGGCCTGGGAACCAGAAAATCAAAAGAAAAGAACTGTGGCAGATTTAAAACAGAAAAATGTCTCAAAGGAGTTAGGGAGGGATATAAGGGGAGTTGTTCAGCAGAACCAGATGAAGATGCAGGTACACACTGGGGTGTCTCAAGTCAGGGGATGGTAAGCCTTTAGATCAGACAGATGTGTGTTGATTGTTGCTATAAAATCTTCCTCTCTCTCTCTCATGTGTTTTCCTACTCCAAAACATACACTTTTCTCTTAAGGAGGCTGTTTTGTCACTAGAATACCACTGTCAGACCCCCAAAGAAAAGAACCACATCTGTCCAAACTCAGCTGGACCTGCTGGGTAATCATGGTTGAAACACAGGACACTGTGGCACACAGCCTGGTCTAAAAGTGGTTAAACTGTGGAATTCCAGCCTACAGTAGTAAAGGCACAAAGCCTGACACCTGAGGGGTTCACTCAAAGAGACCAGAGAAGTACAGCTAGCCTTGTAACTATGACACTATGCTGAAGTTATGAAAATAACTGACTGCATGTAAGACTTACGAGGTCATATTTCCATTCACATAGTTCTGGTTCAGGATCCGAGCCCAGCAGCCTGCACCCACTTCATCATTGAAAGTGCTATAATCTTCTGAAGCCCATAATTTCTTCTGAGTTGCTAAGGCATTATCCACTGTTTTTGTTCCAGGGTAATGAGCCCTGGATAGTATTTCAAAAAAGGACAGCAATTAACACAAGAAAAGCAGAACTCAAGGACACATTCAGTTATTAGCTCAAAGCAAAAACAAAATGCCTGGTGCCAAAAAAATAAAAATAAATCACTATGTGGATTTCACACCAGAGAATCATACTAGTTAAATCCAGAAGAGAGCTACAATATTTAATAATTTAGCCCCATCTGTGCCAATGCAGGATTTTTCCTTATAATATAGTCTGATGCTTTAGCAAGTCTAGTTTTAAATATCAAAAGCAAATCCGGCTTTTTATTCCCTATCCTGGTGTGCACATTTTTTCCTGATAGTCGGCATTAGTGCCCCCACGCTTTTATCTCATTGCTGCTAATTATACCACCTTGTACCACCCTAAATAAATCCTCTTCTGGGTTTTTATGACTTTCACATACTTATGGATTAATAATAATTCTCATCACTGGGTCTCTTCAAAGCCCTATACATACAGTGAGATCTCCCCTTAGCCATCACTTAACCATGCTATTTATGCCTACTCTTATTCTCTTTCCTCAGAAATAAAATCTTTGAACTTTCAGCAAGTATGTTGTTAAAGCCAAGAGAAAAAGCACTGAAAGTTTGGAGCAGCTGCAATAAACTGAGGTTATGTACAGAATATGACAGGAGCTCTGCTTATTTCTCTTTGACAGATCTTTCCTACTCCAAATGGAGATATTTGTTCTCATCCAAGACGACCTTTTGTGCTCACACTGGTTTGGTTACCACTGATTCACTACGCAATTTTGTCTTAACAGTTTCAAAGGCTTTCCTTCTATCAATAAGGGGCATTTTTGGTTACTCGTATCTGATGGGAAACTAAGAAGGACGTCAACTACACACTGAAAACAAAACCATAAACTCTATAGATAGAGGTCTGAGAAGGGTCCTTAATATTAGTCTGATATAGAGGCAGGAGGAACCTTGCTAATTTGTGGGCAAGGGAAGGGAATAATATTTCTAAAACAAAGAAGATAAAGGAAACAGATCACTTAGTTGAATTCTAAGAGGAGTATGGACAATCTCCCAATATGGTACTCATTCACGTATAGCTTTACTAATCTAATAAAAGGCATAATACAGTGCTCATAAATATGTTGAATATTCATCCCTATGCTGTTAGGCTTATTGTATACACATTCAACTCTTTTTGGTTTGGAAGCAAAAATGTAAGTGACTAAAATATTAACTTTGATGCTTCAGGGATTAGATGAAAAATGTAGTTTGCGGAAACAGATGTAAAGCAGAGTTAGTAAATGTGCACTTCTATGCCCCTCTCCCCTGAAGGCTCTCAAAACACTTTACAAACATTATTACTCAACTCCCCTGGCAGATACTATCCCCATTTCACAGAAGAGAGAAAAGATGCAAAGTGAATGACAAGATCACGCAGGTACACAGTAATAAAACCAATACCCAGACTTGTATTTTAACTACAAAGAACAAGGTCCCTGTATATACATAAGAGGTGGAATATGAAAAGTAGAATAACCAAATAATGGGAATAAGAGGAGAGCACTAAAGGTAAGGGAAGAAAATGGACAAGAAGATGGGATGACCAAAGGGTTAAGGTTAAAAAAGAAAACTGAAACTGGGTCATTCAAAAAGGACAGAAAGACCATTTTCAGAACGTATTTATGAGCAGCTTTGCTCCACTTGCAGCCCACATCCTGTTAGACACAACATCCCAGTTTGTTCCATTAGCGTGTGCTTAAGCAGAACAGTCTCACCGAGAGTGAGAAGTGAGTCATTTTTTCCCCCCTCAGATGCCAGTGAATGAGCAATGATCACGAACTCTGCTCCTCAGACACTGCCTGTACCCTAGGTGCTTTGGTTTCTTTTATTAAGATCTAACAGACTCCACATAGAGTAGGCCACAGCTCAAGCCTCATTACCCCATGGTCTGACTTTTTATAGCTACAGTTTTTAGCGGATTCCCTCACACTGCCAAGCACCAGTTTTTAAAGAAGAACTTATAGCCCTTCAATATGCCTTCAGTCTACTGAATCCATAACTACTTTAAAATTTATGAGGTCACTAGACTGGGCTACAATCTTCTTTTAAGTTATCCTTTCCACCCGAGCACCTCAGCTACACTGACCTGACAAATAAGGTACATGGCACACAGCAAGAGGTGCACTGTGCCAAAGAACAAGTTCCTTTCACAGAGAGAAAAAAGGTCAGATTCTTCACATCTTCCAACTGCCTCATCAGAGCAAGCTGTTCCCATCTCTTCTGCAGATTCCCCAACAGCCTTAGAGCCAGAACAGCTAGTTCCTATGCCACCCCTCATCTCTTCCCACCTCCAAACACCCCGAGAATGCTCCAGCACAGGGGGCACGGCCACAACATACTACTCTGCAGCTACCCCTAGCTAGTGAACCGGGGTTGTGTGTGTGTGGGGGGGGGGGGGGTTAGGTGCTGTGGAGTGTATAAAACTAGTTAAAGCAGTGGTCTCCAAACTTTTCACAGTCACACCTCCCCTGACCCGTGTCCGCGCACACACACCCCGAGCCAGGGCCAGAAGGGGGGCCACAACTCCTGTGGGGGGAGAGGGGAGGAGCACAGACGGGTAAGGGGGCCGAGGCTGGGGCCATAGCCAGGGCCAGAAGTGAAGCCGGGTGTGGAGCTGGGGGCCAATTCTAGGGGCCAGGAGTGGAAGCCGTGACCAGGCCATGGTCGGGGCCGGAAGCGGGGCCAGAGCAGAGCTAGGGGCGGAGCAGAGCTGAGTGGTGCTTCCTCCCTGACCCTTGGGTAGGCTGGCCCAGGCCCTGCTGTGTCCCCGCTCCCGCCCGGGGTGCCACACCTCACCGTTTGGGGACCACTAGGTTAAAGTGTTAGAACGTCATAACTGGCTCCCTGATATCTCTCCCCCTTCTCTGCTTCTCCCCATCTCGGGGTGGCAGCAGAGAATTTGAGCCTTACAGGCTAAAGTTAGGAGTGATCCGTATATAGCTGGGATGCTTCAACAGAATAGGTAAGATTTAAGGACTTATTTTACAGGAGCAAAGAACTAGAGACACCTTAACAGGAAAGCTGTTCCACACATCTGGAAGAAGAGGAAGTATAGTATCAGGAGTGGGCAAAGGAGGGCAAGAGAGAAGCCTGGATGGAGAGCAGATAGTGAAAGGTAGGTAGGAGTGGAGTTCTGGAGAACTCTGAATGTAAGCTCAAATGTTAGCTCAATGCCAAAGAGAAAAAGCCACTGCAAAATTCCACTACAGGGAGAGATAGCAAGAATGGTATGAAGATATTATGTTAGCAGGCACATTGTAGAAGGAATGGAAAGTATGTGGAGGGAGGAGATAGGACAAGGCCAGCACACAGGATGTAGGAAGATGGGAAATTAACAAGCTAGCATGAAGTATTGGCAGAAGTAATGAGTTTTGAAAAGGCTATACATAAGTAACAGAGAGTGATACTAACAGCATCATGTTTTTAATAAAGGAGGGAAACTGCTCTTGCTTTTGACATTCATTCTCCATTCCACAGCCATTGGCTAAGTAGTATTTTCATTGCACCCTTCCATTTAAAAACAAAAGAAAAAAAACACCTTTCAGACAAGAAGGAACAATGCTTTGAGTGCTGTGTTTTTCAAGAGACACTGAGAATCTTTTTGCTCTGTGTTTGCAAAGCGCCTAGCACAATGGGGTCCTGGATCCATGACCCAGGTGTCTAAATTCTACAATAATACATGTCTAGATATTATCAAGCATTTTAACATTAAATATATGTTTGTATAGTAGGCAATGGACTAGTAGCATTCCCATATAAAAACAGTTCTGTGAGTGGCAGAAGTTTTGCATGAGAGAACTAAATTAAATCCTAGTTAGAGCAACAAAGGTAAAAAAATCATTTTTAGGAAACAAATTTCTCATTACTGTTAATTCCACCTTCTGTTATCTACAGTGAACAAAAATTAAAATAGATTTTCCAGATTTACTATTTATGCTCCTTGCCTTTTGCACTTATTTCACTATTGGACAGAAAATTGACTAGCTTATTTTACTTTTTGACTTCCATGCACTAGCACAATATTGTGATATACAGACTGCAAAACACTGCTAGGGAATATTTAAATTCATAAAAAATGTCTGAAAAACTCTATTCTGAAGAAGTTTTACAAAATTGGCTTATTCGCACAAAACTTGAAGTCTTAATTATGCAATATCATCCCTGTAAGAAAGTTTAAGTTTTAACTAGGATAATTTGTTTCTTACCACTCTTCAACTTTCTCATCTTGATTATCTAATCCACTTTAACCCAACCCAGACAGAAGTGCTAGGAAAGCAGACTTTCCTGAAATGTACTGTATTTATTCAACCTTATATATCCTCAGAAGAATAGGTTTGTTATCATGAGCCTCAAGCTGCCACATCCACCCATAGACACTTTCACAATAATGTATTTTAAATTCATAGCTACTAGGAAACATTTGATGCCTTTATTTCCAAAGACACTGTATTAAAAGACAGTTACCTTTTTATAACTGGTGTTCTTCGAGATGTGTTGCTCATGTCTATTCCACAATAGGGGTTCATGCTAGCCACATGCACCGGTGCCGGAAGTTTTTCCCCCCGTAATACCCATGGGGGGGGAGCACCCCCCACGACCCCTGTAGTGGCGCCTGCCTGAGCTGAGCGCTCCCCCCCACCCTCAGTTCCTTTTTGCTGGACAACTCCAACAGAGGGGAAGGAGGGCGGGATGTGGAATAGACACGAGCAACACATCTCAAAGAACACCAGTTACGGAAAAGTAACTGTTTTCTTCTTCGAGTGATTGCTCATGTGTATTCCACAATAGGTGATTCCAAGCTATATCTCTTGGAGGTGGGTAGGAGTTCACAAGTTCCCAGGATGGAGGACAGCCCTGCCAAACCCAGCATCATCCCTGGTTTGGGGGATGATCACATAGTGCAAGGTGAACGTGTGAACCGAAGACCATGTGGCAGCCCTACAAATGTCCTGGATGGGG